TATTTTCATTTAAAGTGTTTTCCATTTTTAAAATTTTTTTTTATTTTTAGCCACAATTGCATATCAAAATAATATATTAATATATATTACGCAGTAAAACCCGATAAAATGTACAGTCATATATCATTTCTTTTATGTAGTAATAGTAATTTAAGTCCGATTTAAATTGCTTATTTTAACCATAAAAGGAATAGAACATTCAAGGCAATCTCCTCTACAAATTATAAAAAAAGAATCAACGAATTAGACAAATTATTGGTTAATGTTTTATTTAACAGTTTATGTGATGAATATGAACAATTTGAAAGTCTACGTCACAGGTAAAATGTTTGAAGGCTTGAAACGTTTGAAAACTTGCAGGTCAGCAAGTTATGCTTGCAAATAAAATATTTGAAAGCTTGCATTGCAAAATTTTGACAAATTATATCATTATAACGGGAGTGGCTTGTACAGAATAAATGCTATTTGAAATCAAAGAAACTGAAAATTTTCTATATAACCCGTTGTTAACACTACCAATGTCAAAACCTTGGCTTTATACCAAAGCAAATAAACCAAACCTCAGAGTTCTATGCCACTCAGATAACCAACTGAACAATCAAACCCTACTGTTTAATTTACAAAAGTGTTTTTATAAGCAAAACAGAATTTTATTTATTTATTATTATGTGTGAAATTATTTTTACAAGTGAATTAAATTAACAATAACTAAGCTGCAAAATGGTTTGTTTTCTCTTTTAGAAATATTGCCAGTAATGTCTTGTTGTGCATTATCAACCCAAATATTAAGGGCTCCTTCAAGTTGTGACCATGAAATTTTTCTATAGTCTTTCTCTTTAAGATATTAGTCTTTTTTTTTTTGCCTCACAAAGTTCACATTTTTGGGTAGTAATACTACATGTTATTTACTAATAATTTAAATTCATTATATATATAGGAAGAGCAGATTAGATAAACAGATCTATTAATTATAAAAATTTGGTCATGGCAATTTTTGTTCAGAGTTTGATATAGGTTATTGTTGCTTGATCTACGCAAACATGATTACCGTTCTACGAAATAAATACAATCACGTGAGATCAATGTAAGATTCTTGCAAAAAATAATATTTTTTTTTTTTAAAGAATATTTGGAATACCTTTTTTCACAAAATAAATAGAAATTCAATTAAAATAAAAAATGTCTAAGAGAGGTAAAAAGAACCATAAAATATTAACTGTTACTTCTTTTTTAACAACTTTGCTGATTAATTAAATTACTATGATTAATAGGTCGTGGTGGAGGTAATACATTTTATTTAAATTTAAAAAAAAAACTTTTAAAATAAATTCATTTTATTCATTTATTTTTCTACTTGAATTCAATTAAATGAATAGCTTCTGGTAACAAATTCCGTATGACCTTAGGTTTACCTGTTGGTGCAGTGATGAACTGTGCTGATAATTTTGGAGCGAAAAATTTATACGTTATCTCAGTTAAGGGTATTCATGCTAGATTGAATAGATTACCTGCAGCTGGAGTTGGTGATATGGTTATGGCAACTGTTAAAAAAGGAAAACCTGATTTAAGAAAAAAAGGTAAAATTAATTAATTAATCATATATATGGGGGCTTTTCAATAGAACGGATGGACCATCTTGTGAAAATGATGTTTTGAGGAAATCAAAAAAAGATCCGCATTTTAAGAGGTTTACTATCGTTTTTGAAATTTTAAAGAAAAGTATCTCGATATTTTACTATGCAAAGTGGGCATGGTTTCTAAGCCAAAAACGTTCTACATGAGAAGTTACATATAGCAATGGTATTAACTCAAAATTGCTTTTTCACAACATGGTCCGTTTCTATTGAAAAGCCCCCATATATGAAATGATATCTTTCATTTAATTATAATAATAATAATGTAATTTTTATAGTTATGCCTGCTGTTGTTATTAGGCAACGAAAACCTTGGAGAAGAAGAGATGGTGTTTTTCTATATTTTGAAGGTAAACAAATAAATTGATTTTTTTTAATATATTGCTAAAACAACAATATAATTTATGAAATATATTTTTTTTAAAGATAGTGCTGGTGTTATTGTAAATCCAAAAGGAGAAATGA